CTGATACCACTTGTAACACCCCGGGTCTACACTATGTAATATTGTCCGCTTTGGATCCACTGACTCTCACTGCTTTAAAACGCGTTGTCTGGGGAAGAGGCGCAACCGCACTGCCATCCCTCATCCAAGCCCAATATTGTTCTCTTTGGGCCTCCCGCACTGGCGCAGACGCACAGCCATCCCAACTACGGGTCTCCCTCAAGGCTTTGTTCTCAGCACAACGGAAGTTTATGTGAAATGCATTACACAGATATAGAACCCCAAGCCTTATAAGCAAGCTCAAGGCTCCCTCCTTAGGTGATGTAGGACAAGAGAGGTACCCCACTTCCCTATGCACGTCCGGGGTAGTGGCGCGGATGCACAGCCATCCCTCCTCCCCGCGCTTCGCCGCTTAGCTTGGGCCGTCACACTCTCCACCCCTTACAGGCACAGCGCCCTCGCTGTGGGCCCACACGCAATTAGGAGTCGGCTCTGATACCACCTGTAACACCCCGGGTCTACACTGTGTAATATTGTTCGCTTTGGATCCACTGACCCTCACGGCTTTAAAACGCGTTATCTGGGGAAGAGGCGCAGCCACACTGCCATCCCTCATCCCTGCCCAATATTGTCCTCTTAGGGCCTCCCGCACTGGCGTGGACGCACCGCCATCCTAACTACGGGTCTCCCTCAAGGCTTTGTTCTCAGTACAACAAAAGTTTGTATAAAACGCGTTATACAGATATAGAACCCCAAGCCTTATAAGCAGGCACAAGGCTCCCTCCCTAGGCGATGTGGGACAAGAGAGGTACCCCACTTCCCTGTGCACGTTCGAGATAGTGGCACGGACGCACTGTCATACCTCCTCCCCGCGCTCCGCCTTTTAGCTTGGGCTGTCACAATAAGATAATCTGCAATGACATTGGATATATGGTGCTTCTCCATTTTCTTTGCCTCCTTCATCTTATGAGGGCAATATGTGAACGTTAGGTAGGAAACAACTTCAATTTTCTGTTGGAGATACATATATGTATAGTGTCTCTTACTACGAGCTAACAAATTGATGAGTTTCTTTTCTTTTTGCCAACCAAACCCATTGTAACATAGACACCATTCTTTTTTTTATAGGGAAAATTTCAGAATGTCCCATGAAGTGGGACCATTTTCATAGAGAATCATAAATTTGTTGAACGGATGCCAATTTAGTAATTAACCTTTCAATTTGGTCAATTTAGTCCTTTCGACGAATAATAATTAACGGATGTCACATATCATCCAACTTAGCAATTCAATGGTAAAATTTAACGGAAACTAACAGAGGATAAATTTATCACATGTGTATCTGTTGAAAACAGATGCGAAAAAACAAATATAGAACACAGAGATTTACGTGATTCGATCATAAGGTGATCTACGTCCACGGGCGAGGCAAGACAAGATTCCACTATAATCAAAGAGAGTACAGTTTTTAGAAGTTGAAACAACAACAAAAGCTCAAGGCTCACAAAACTCTCCGAAAACAAAATTCTCTCTCTATTCATCAATGAGAAAACCTAGCCGCGGTATAAATAGTGCTCCCCAAAAAATTTCCTCGGCGCCTACGCCCCCGAACCCCCCGAGACATTTGTTCGCTTTCTCCAACTCGAGCGGACCGCCATAGAGATTTGTTCGCTTTCTATGAGTTGGGCCTATCGGCCCAACCATCTCACGTCGCGAACTAAATCTCAATTTTTTCTCCACTTTCGGGTCGCACAAAAATATTTCAGGTTGGGTGATAAACTGGACCAAATACATAAAATTCAAGACATATTTAACGGTATCGGTTTTGGATTTTGGGTGGTTAAAAAATTAGTTTGAGATAAATTTATCACAGGTGTTCCAATTTGGGATTTTTCGTGATAACAACCCAATACACAAATACTACGAATTTGAAGAAAAAAATTCCACAGTTCGCAAGGAGGCTTAACTTTTGCCCATTGGAATACACGAGTGTTTTCGTCTCTATCCATAGATTATATAAGTAGCTCATTTTCCATATCCCAACACATCGAACGAGATCATTCATTAGATTTTCAGACTCCCAACAGCTTTTGGTCATTATATATTATTGCACACATCTTAGAATTTGCCTAAGCCCAAATTAAATAAATAAAAATAAGTAGAAAACAATCGAAAGACTTTCAATGAATGCAATAATTTCGTAAACAGCACTCCGTTTACGTGGATCTAGATGGAAAGACGGGCCAATACAAAAATCTGGGGTCCAGTTTTGGAATTGACATTTGAATTTTCATATTGTATCTGATGACGTGGCATTAATTAGTGCTTTGGAAAATCGAGATCTCTTTTATTTTTTTTATCGTGCTCGCGAGTCAAAATCAGAGACCATGGAGTTTGGTCACCTACCGAATTACCATTTTCCTCATAAACCAGATTGTTATCTCGTTGTTTGTAAAATATAAATCAAAGAGATTTACATTTAAAGCCATCAGAGCTATAAGCTCGAGCCGCTGAAGAAGTAAGCCGTGGCTTAGATTGGGGCCCACCCACAAAAGATGACCGGTCAACCACATGAGCAAATTGACTGGCTCCAAAAACACAAAATTAAACATAAAATAGAGATTAGGAAAATCGTGTCGCGTAGCGCTGTGACTGACTGCTGACAAATTAGTGATGTAATTATCAAAACGTGTTTTTTTTGGTCCCAATTTTCAAAATTAGTGATGTAATTATCAAAATGTGTTTAAGAGATGTAATTATCAAAATGTGTTTAAGAGATGTAATTATGGACAGCGCCCGCTACTCGCCATCGCGATCATCTCTCTCTCGCACCAAGAGTTCCTGGTAGGGAAAATAGACGTTACTTTTATACGATACTCGCTACACGATTAACCATTTTGACCGGTTAGAAGCAAAGTTTTGACCTGCAAAGATTTTATCTGAACACATGGACCGGATCAACCGTAGTGACATTCGATCGATCATTACATCCGTGAGTCATGACATGCCCTCTTATGATTGTGTCGTCTTTCGTCGGGGTCAGCGAAAAATCATCGACCATGGCATATAAGGAGCACGAAAATAAAATACATAAATAATTAAAGAGAATTGTACCAGTTAGGTACGTCTCTATGGTTATAGTGATGTTGCAATATCTTTCATTTTCTAAAAACCATACTTTAAATGGAAAATAAGAATAGTGGCCACGTCGTTGGACCCCATGATGTGTATATGGGCATATGAGAGAGAGAGAGAGAGAGAGAGAGAGAGAGAGAGATGTCTACATAGTTGCATCCCCAAGAAATTACAAGTACCTTGGTTTTACCTGTTCCGAGAAAAAGAAAAAGAGATATTATGATATGTTATGACCGTTTCTTGTTTTGCACAAAAAGCTATGCTTTATATTAGATCTCCAAAGTACTTCCAAGATACTTCTACTCGTATGGTGAAGGTCATAACTGGGCAGATTCACTCTAATAGAAGAGACTGTATCTTGTGACTATATAGAGCTCAAAATCTTTGTACCACCAATTCAACCACAACCCACCACCAAAAAGAGAGGGAGAAAAGGTCATTCGTAAGCAAATGGTGTTATTGGAGAATTGTCCCCGATCTTGCTCGAGACAATTTCTTGCGCTTGAAAAAGTTGTTGAAATTGACTTTCCCACGGAGAAGAAGAACACTTCATACTGCACCAAACCCGACTGATTGCAAGACCATCATTTTAATATCCTGCTTCCAGAAGAGAGAAAGAGAGAAGGGAATGCTTAAATTGTGGGTCGCCACAATTCTACACGGTCGGTCACTTTGCTTAGGTGCTCCCCCACGACTCCTCCCATATGCTCCATCGTTTTACACTTCTGAACTAATCTTAAAGAGTGATGGGAAGAATAGAGTGCCTTGATTAGAGGTTTAAAGTTAACTAAGTCGAGCAGGGGTAGTTTACTAACTACTTGAACTCAACTCCGCTCTGGAATCGATCGGTCATGATCGCACTCGGATTAAATAGAGCTCAATTTCTGAAGCGCGGGACTATCTTGATACCGTATTTTCAATGCTCGAGTTGAGTTCACATTAACAAGTTTTCGGAAAAGAATAAAAAGGTTAATATGTTCAAAACTTCGACATGTCATCCTAATTAACATAACCCTGGCTAATTTAATCATGCTCACAAGCCACTCGAGTCAAGTGTCATTGAACACAAGCTCGCCATGAGATTACACAAGCTTTACCCCAAGTCCAGCCGCATTCGACATATCTCATTATCATCGAAACATGACGAAGAAAAGAAAGATTTCAATTTCTGAGGCACGGGCGTCTTATAAAACCCCGATACACTCGTTAACGGGACCCAAAAAGATAAATACAAACACAAAGGTAATGACAACATGGGTTCACTCTATAAATGCGCAACTCTGAGCCCCACATGGGGGATATATAATGAGGATGGGTGGTGGTAGGAGCCACGGCTGTTTACGCTGTTCAGCACTTCAATCAATGGGGAGAATGACCTGTCTCCTGGCGTGTCGGCTGACACTTTACCGCCACTTCCAGGTCCCAAATCTTTTCCTTTTGTTTTCCCCATGGACCGACACCTCTAATTTCGTTTTTCTTCATTTACTGGAGCTTTTTAATGGCGACGAAGCCAAGTTGTCTTCTTCGTTTACAGGGCAACTCTTGGTCCTATTCGGACAAGGAGGCCCAGCTTGAATGAGACGATATTTCACTTCATGGTCCTTTGCCCTTTTTCAAAGGCCGACGCCCACGGGGAACTAAAATAAGCTAAGCTTCACATGATAAATGCACGATAGCGAATTAAGGTAAAGGTGATAAGGACTGGAGAGCAACTAAAGAAAGCTTCCTACTGGGGGAATCGCGACCCGTGCCGGCATATCACATGAGAAGATAATTTATTGCATATAAATGGAAGACCTAGCGATTTGCTTCTTCCTCGAGCATCTCTGTTTTCAACGTTTTTTGAGCAATAAGATCCAGGAGAGTGAAAAGAAAACCAGAGAATCTAGACAGGTACATGTTGAGAGATACCCAGTAAAAGTGAGCTGACAGGTAGATGCAATTCACTGTTGATGGGCCATTTAAAACGTGTAAGATGCTATCTCAGTTTATATATCGAATCCAATGAGGGATAAACCTTTTGGCTTTGCCCCGAAGAATCTTTAGAAGGGAAGAAAGAAAGGAAAGGGAAAAGCTTTGATTGCTGTTACCGAATCTCAGAAGAAGGCGAGTGAAATTCGATCATCTGCATCCCTCTTCCAGCTACTGCTATCTGGTACTGGTCCCTGGAATGGGATTTTAAAAAAAAGCAGCGTTAGAAACTGCCAGAGGATAATTTTGTGCTGCTCAGGCTTATTTTTCACTTTTTTTTCACAATAACTGCGAATATAGTATCAGGGGAATATGCATCACTAACCGGCCAAAGGATCTTGCATCCAACGCTTCTGGCTCTGGCACACTAATGATGAAATGAGCAAACTCCGTTAGTGTACCCTGTTCCTTGCTAATCCAGCACCTGACCCGCTGATCAAGACCAGTCGAGAAAATCCAAGTGCCGTCTGTCCAAACGCCTTCATAACAATGACTACAGTTAGAACTTACAGAAGAGGAAGGCATTCGAGGTGTGTCGTGTATATCATTTAAAGAAGTTAAAACTTGGAGAAAATTCAACTGGCAACTATCTAGAAGGGGAAAAGATATTCTAGAAACAGGTAGCATCCCTAATGGTTACAAAAAATATAACTTGGAGTTGACCATGTGCAAACAACATTGAGGACAAAGGGATAAGGTTCAAAACTATGGGAAAAAGCAAATATCGTTAAAGATGCGCAAAAATGTGGTTTGTAGGAGAAGATATTCTCGAGGAAAAATTGACAAATCACAATGACTGACTTCAGAAAGTTCAGAGCAAGGGGATGTAAAGGTCAGAAGTAGAAGAACTGCAGAAGACATGCGACTTTGACAAAGATAGAATCAAGAACCAAAATATCTACCACTTAATTTGCACGTTCAATCTCAAGAGAAGGCAATTAAAGTTAATTACATATAAAGAAAAAAAAAATTGATGCAACCTCTACCTTTTACAGCGGAGTTGTGAGCAGAAGCTATTTTTTCTTGAGAAATGAATTCAATCGTCCACTTGGTTTTCTGGTTCTGCTCATCATGAAGAAATTCCTCCACGAGTATAGAATTACTGACGTCTGAACTTGGAACAACTGGATCTTGGACTGGAGTCTGTACCAACACCTCAAATTCAAGAATATGAAGTGCTTGGTCATCACCACCGCTGACTAATTGGTACAGAAAACGACCATTGGAACTTTGGCCAAGTTTTGTTTCACAAACATGGAGACAATTCACGCCAGATTGGTGAACACCATTAAGAACATGAATAGGATTTACTTCAATAATCTCGAATAAGGAATTAGCTGCTTTGCTATCTAACTCAGGGGAGGCATCTAGCATAGAAGATGAAGACCCGGAGGCAACATCACCAGTCAACTTCCCGTTTAGTTCCTTTATAGCTTTCACAGTAACAGGATCACTGATTGGCTGTTCTGCACGAGCAACTTTGCTTAGCGACCTCCACCATCTTCCACCCTGGCTTCCTCTCCCAGTCCGTGGCCGTTTCTGACAATCCATGAGCTGTTCTAGATGGATATTTGACAACCGCCTCATAAAAGCTTCAACACTTTCAGTCAGATCCCAGAAGGCAATACTCCCATCAGTGGCTCCGCTAACCACGACACATACATTCCCAATCTGCACATTTTCTGGAATTCAAAATGCAAGATCAAATTAACAACTCTTGTCAGGAACACATAACATCAAGCATGCATAAGTCCGAAACACGACTTCTCTAAATATTATAGCTGTAGGGGACGATAGCATGTGAGTCAAAATATTGTGGACATGAGCTGCCTAAGCTGTGCCAAGTATGATTGGTTTCTATCAAAATTTGACATATACATGTTAAATTGCACATCTAATATGACAGCGTTGTCAACATATGCTAAACAATGCTCTCAGGTAAATAACCAACCATCTGATAGTTGTGGAATGATGACATGTTGCAATGATAGAACTGGTGATGATAGAGGTACCATCAGAGCAACATCAAACCTGCAATAGGGTGGAGAAGGAGTAACTATATTTGAGTAAGAGGAAAGAGGGAGTGGAGATAAGGAACCATTCTATAAGCTCCTTGAAATTACCACAGACGATAGGGCAAGACGAGAGCTCGTATTGCAAGTGTAGCATCTGAACAAGCCACAACCATAAAACAGACAGTTAACCTGAAACGAAGACAAAAAGGATGATAAGACAAAATGCATCAGAATTTGAGAAAGTTACAAACAAAACAGAAATGAATATGCCCACCTTGAACCAGAATGTCTAACGAGAAAAGCAGTGACAGCTAGGTATCTCCAGTCATCTTCATTTTTATCACCTGAAGATACTTTCGACTGCAGAGCCTCACTTTCAGGCAGAAGTGATTTACATCTTACATTCTGCTTTTTAATGCTTCCTGGTTTTTTGGAAGGCACTGAATACTTAACTGGCATGTCCGTGGAAAGCCATTGGAATGAAAATGTAGAGGACCCAGCTGATGAAGGCAATGAGCCATTTATGGCTTCCTGTAATCGTAAATCAGTAACACCATCTTCTTTCCCATCTGGTTTTCCTCTTCTCAGCAGCCAAGAAGTCAGAACTCGCTTTGCACCAACAGAAATAAGCAAAGATGGATTATGTTCATCCTCCATGAGAGTTCCCTTTAGATCCTTCGGGAGGTTCTCTATATCCTCTATATCAGACACGTTCGTATCTGATGAGGTTGTATATATATTCGAGACACAACATATCGATCTGACAGCGGATCCACCAACATGCTCTCCAAGTAATTTGGATGAAGACCAATTGTCAGTGCATAGAGTATACCTAAATCAGGCACAATTAAATAGCTTAGTATGTGAGTTTGCTATTCCTTAATTTGCATCTCTAATTGCTCATGAGATGAGATAGATGAAACCAAATTATTAAGAGGACTGATATTAAATCCGCATGTCCCTAGGAAAAGATGGTTGGAAGTTTGACAGATCACCATAAGACTAGGATTTGTCATTGCATATTCATCGATAAGTTCAACAAAATTATGTGACTCTGTACAATTTGGCAGGCGGACAACGAGATTTCCTTCTTTGTGTTTAATAATCATCAACTTTTAGTTCCACCATATCAAAAACAAAATCCAGAGTTATCAAGGATAAAATCTGAGATGGGAGCTTCAAAATCTATACACAAAATGCTTTTCTCTACCTATGCAGTTGTTCTAACCTTGTTTCCCAGATTTAATTAAACAAAATTTCTTACTGAGGATGTCTAAATTGGCATCAAACAAAGTTCTTATAGAAACCGGCAAAAATGATAATAAAGAAAAAAGGAGGGACAGAAACAAATTGAGAAAGAATTAACAGAGAAAGGAAAATGAGAACAAGATCCTATTAAGCATTGCATAGCTAAACTAGGTTCTAATGATAGCATGTGAAATGTCAAAGGAACTAGAAAGAGACATCACTTAAGGGAAAAATTGGCAACACAAGAGACTCTAGGAAGCTGACTTTGGTTCGGTGATTCTGACAAAAGCTAGCTTTATTGTATATGTAAATTTATCCAGAGATCCACGGCGCTGTGTCTGCCACAGTCACACCACTTGTGGCTATTACCCAGCTATGGTCAAGTGAAAGCAAGTAACCTTCATCTTAAATTTAAAGAAACTTTCTGGGTGTCAACAAAAGCAGAGTTACGTCAATCCAAATTGTAAAAGAGAGTCATTACAATACCTAGTCAGCCTCACTGTCCCATCCTCACAACCAGTTACAATCCAACTTGATTGTCTATTTTTTCTGAGATGGAAATCTCCAGTAACAAAGCATAAAGAATGCACCTCCCTTCCATGGAACTGCAAATGTAGATTTTGAGGGAGTATCTTGTCCTTTGAGTCCATTGTCCAGTGTCTATGGATGTAAATAATGTCATCCTGGAATGGATAAGTTAGAATGAGAACAATGTTTGGAAGTAGAAGCCATATGTTATTTTCAAATAAGTATGCTTGACCAGAAAAACAAGCATCTACAAAAAGGGCTTGTTTTCTAGGAAGTGTAATGCAGGGGGAGCATCTCTACAAACTCAGGCCAGATAAGTAAAAATGATTGAAAACCAGAAAAAAGAAGGCTATTTCAAGCATATAACAAAAGAGAGCATGTCTTCTTACTTTTTTATTTTTTTTTTTTTTTTTTTTTTTTTTTTTTTTTTTTTTTTTTTTTTTTTTTTTTTTTTTTTTTTTTTTTTTTTTTTTTTTTTTTTTTTTTTTTTTTTTTTTTTTTTTTTTTTTTTTTTTTGTTTTGGTTTTTTTTTTCGCTTTCTTTTGGGGGCCCTTCTTCCCCCGCCCTTGGGGGGGCCCCCCCCCCCCGGTCGGGCGAGGGAAAAGTGCGTCAATGCATGGTGGAAGCATCTCACTGCTAAACACAAATCTTACAGCAGAGAGTGGGTAAGATGTTAAAAGGGAAAAGAAAAAGAAAAAGGAAAAGAAAAGGAAAAGAAAAAGAAAGTGAAAAAATCAAAAAATATACTTATAATTTTCTTTTTACTAAAATACCCTTCTCCAAATGCGACGGAATAGTCACCGGCCGGCCAAAGGTCCTTATTTGAGACGCCATTGGCCACTTTCCTGCACTTTATTTGAGATAATATCCACTTCAAGTTGCCTTATTTGAAAAAATACTCCACTTTCGCCCCTTTTCGAATTTTCCCAAAAGGATAGGAGAAGACCTTAAATAGATGTGAATAGAGACTTAAAATAAGATCTTGAGCCCTTGGATCTTAGAGAAACTAGATACGAGACAGAGAATAAAGGCATAAGATGGTTCATGTAGCCAACCCCACCTACTGGAATAAGATAAAAGAGAATAATGGCATAAGATGACTTATGGAACCCTTGGATTATACTAAAACTTGACAAAAAATGGCATAAGATGATGTAGCCAACCCAACTTAGCAGAATAAGAGTTTGCTGTTCTACATGTCAATTTCTCTAAAGAGCCATGGCATGGCAAAAGAGTGAGGATATTATAAACCCGAATGATCAATTCAAGGGCCAAAATTTACATATTTTGGAAAGGCTTTCTCCTAGGACTCGTTTAATGAGAAGTCCCTAGAATTTTGTTGTGGTGCATTATTTCATCTTGAGTAGAGAAGGCCCATTTATGAGGTGAGACGCACTGCAAGTCCCACTGTTTAATAACTGGAGACAACCAACTAGTGGTGAAAGTGTCTTAGACAATCGAATAAAATGATGTCAGATTTTTCCACAGATAAATTCCGACAATCAAATGAATGATGTAAGATAATTGTAGGAATAGATTTCCAACGGGAGTCACTACTTCTATCTCCAATATGATCTCATTTCAGTATGATAATACGAACAAACCTTGACATATGCAAAGCAGTTCTTCATCTCTGGTACATCACCCAGATAATAAGAATGTGGACGCCGCCAACCGCCGCATGAAACTTGCAGGACCTGTTCCAATCGTACTGTAAGATATCAAAACAAATATCTACCTGATGACCTGAACAAGAGAAGATAAGTAAAAGTAACAAAAAACAAATGAAACAAATAAATAAAGAGGAGAAAAGGAAGAGAACCTTAGCCTCGGTAACTAAGTTCCATATTATAAAATCTGTGGATGTAAAACCAGATGCATAACTGCCACTTGTTCTGTCACTGGTAGATTCATTATCAGTGGAAACAGATTCAATCATGCTTAATTCTTTCACCTGCTTCATCCCTACAAAATTCAAAGATTGCAGACCTTTGTCATATTCCATATAGCATATGCATCCATCAGCTCCGGTCTGAAACCACAAAGAGTGTGCGTCATTTAATGTAAAATGTCCCAGCAGACACCATTTCCATGGAATCATGTAAAGATATGTTTGCCTCAAGAGAGATGCAGAAATTAAAGGTCTTACAGAACATAATTCAATGTGATTGAAGGTCATGTGAGCCACAGAAATGCTGGAAACTGCTGAGATGCCATGAGCTCCTTTAAAATGGCTTACTGGAGATATTTTTGCTGCTAACATGACAAAGGTATCCAGCAACAGGCCCTTCAATAAAGGGAACAGAACCAGATTACCCCGTAGATCCCCACAGATCAGCAGCTGCAACATCAAGCAAGATGATCATGTCTGTATGGACTCTGCATAATACAGACTAGTTGATAATAAGGTTGGGTTTCCTAAAAGTAGTGTCTAATCAAATATGTGGTCCAGAATTACTTGTTTTGATAGATTCATAGGATGAAGATTGCTAGCTATGATGGAAGGAAGATGAGTTTCCTTTTATTCATAACCCTGACGGCCATCAGCAATGGCCAACGTTGGTGACCGTAGATAATCATGCACTTGCTACAAAAAGATTTTGCTTACTCATGACTGTTGAAATGGGCATGTCATTCAATGATTGGAATAAAAGCTAAAATTTTCTTAAAAGTATAAAAAAGCTCATGGTTCTTAAATGTTAGCCTCAAGATGTAGTCAATAGAGTGCAACAGATAATGTTAGTTATGACAAACAAATTAACACCATTTTCAAGAAATTAGCATTTGTATCTCCTCATAGTATAACAAAAATTTAGCTTTCTTATAGATACTTTTTTTTTATAGGTTTTCTTACAGATGATAATGTCAAGCCATTAAAGGAAGGGTGATAACAATGATCACAAGTATATACCTCGTTCTCAAATGCCACATCCAAGCACATAATTCGAGCTCCCAAATCTGATTTGAACTCAGCGATTAAGGAAATTAGTGGATTGTTTTCTGGATAAAGAGAACCAGACTGTGGAACCTCGAACAGTCTCCAAAGTTTCAAGGCTCCTCTAGGGTCAGCAGTGAAAATGAACCTAGACAGTATGGAAACCAAAGACGATTATGAGAACCTAGAAAAGATCAAGCACCATAAATATAAGCGACAAACAAATAGCAGAGGCTAGCTTTTCAGAGACTAGAGAGCTCTTGTGTACGTCAGTAGACAATAGTTTCGGAAACTTGACTTTGGGCTTTTACTACATTGATACGACACGAAACCCTTAGGATTACTATTGTGCACTTTAAATCAAATGTGCCGGGGCAAAACATACCAGATCCTGAGTCCACTCCACTTCCATTAGGAAAAACCATTAGACACATGGCTATCCTTTGACTTTGACACCCTTACTATTGAAACAATAGTTCTCCTACATGAAGCATCTCTTTTTGTTCTCGACACCCCAAAGTGACCTGCCTAACAAGGTTTTGATGAAAGCATTTTTTTCCTAAACCGTGTACTTGTTGCGTAACCAGGCCTGCCCCTTTCGCCTCGTTCAACCCCTACAACTAAACTCATGATGAGGTTCCAACAATGTTTGCTCGTTCCTTTGAGAATTTAATTATCACCAGTTCATCGACATGTTCCAATGTTCAAGAAGCGAGTATTACCTATGTCCCAGTGACTTGCACCAATGGATTCCTAAGAGCTGTCGATCCATTTCAGCTGCCCAAGAGAAGCTGGCACTCACTTTAGGAGAATCGGAATTCTTTACAACTCTGACAACTGATGTCCATCCTTTACCATCTCCAAGAGCAACCCAATCATCAGCATCATTCCAAGGATCATATGGATTTGAGGGCAACAGTTCCATACAAATAATTGGCACCTCATTACTTACTCGAACAAGTTCAGTCCACCTTAGATCACCATCATTGCATAATTTAGCATGATAGAGATAACCATGATTAGTGGCAATATATAGTGCATCTTCACGTGAGAAGCTCAAGCATCGGACGTACTCGCTTTTGCTGCAACAAGTTAAGAAAAAATCTGTTAAAGTATCACACATCGTTTGTCTACAGGGCTTATATGATCTTTCTATACATGTGATCTCTCTCTACCTAATAGCCTAAGCTTTTACATTGGACTTTATAACTTGTTACTAAAGGTTTTTCATCTTAGATTCATTTTGCATGTTAGGCTCCCTATTCGTCATTTCCAAGTATGTTCAAAGTCCGGTTTGAATGTGAAAACGGAGTAAAAATATCCCACATCGCTTGTCTATTAGGTTAATATGTTTTTTTATATACATATGATCTCCCTCCACCTGATAGCTTAACCTTTTAGGTTAGACTTTCTAAGAAAACCAATAAAAGTGCATGAAACAATAAAATGATAAAAGTAAAGTGAAATACAAACAGAAAAAGAAATATGAACTTCTTAAAAGCATTTCAAACACAGATAAATGTCCATGTAAAATCTTCATTCAGTCTCGAGTGACAGCTCATTTAGCCTGCTCATCTATGTGACGAAGCAGCGATACAACAACAGATTCACTATAAACCCTAGAAGAATGATCTTCAATCATGTCAATTGAATTGAACACCAACAATGTGATTCAACATCAAAATATTTAGTCTTTTTCTATTAAGATTGTTCAGTACAACGGTATTTTGATTTTCCAAATCTAAAGTAAGCTAATATTACCTGTCCATGTGTCCGCTATGACTTGACGAAGTCGGAAGATGTGTAGTAAGTAGTTCAGTTCCGTCGCTTAAGTCTTTTATGTTGGACTGTTTTGCAGAAGCCTCAACTAAAGAAGCATCCAGTTTACGCACTTTAATTACAGAGTCAAAACCACCAGTGACGAGGAGAGAAGATCTTGGATCATAGAGACACCGCCATATACCCCTTCCACTGAAACACAATAGTGGCATGCCATTACCAACTCATCATTGTGTAGATACAAATGATATTCATTTGAGGACAGCTATAGACTAAAAGTAATTACTTCTACCAAACAAGAAAGACTTAAATAAATAATTCACCAGGATACAGATAATTGGTATTTGTTTCTTCAATGAAGTAAATAAATCCTATAGGCAGCACTATCCATAAATGAAGACAAAAAAAATCCAATGTGGGTTGAGAATTCTGATTTGCTTTATGCCAGCTTCCTAGCCTTCTCCTTCACAAGCAAGGTGTCAATGATGTACACAGAGTAATCTTCTCTTCAACTGAAAAGGGGCAAGTGCCACTATCACATGTGGTGTGCATTTGAATCAACATCAATGGAAACGAAGACAGTGAAAAAGAAAAGAAACAACTATAGTGACTTACATGTGCTCCCTAATGACCTCATGCTGTCGTCCATCCAGTCCCCACACACGACATGAGCAATCCTCGCCAGCAGTAACAATCAACTAAGTGAAATCACAAGAAACAGAAGTTAGTCACAGTATCGAAAAGACAGTAATAAGAATTAAGCAGACTTGATTCCAAGTTGCTGAACAGCAACTTTAAAAAGATGGTCATAACATCAAGTGAGCACTCTCTGTACTTGAATATGTAACAAAATACATGGAATGCCTTTGATGGTGACATTTGAACTAATCTATAGCAAATACCAAATCTCTACTACCAATTGCTTGATCTTTGATCTTACAATGCGGTTTCTATTGTGCCTATTTTTATACTTCAATGCAACTTCAAGGCTTCTTTCGTAAGAATCAGCTTGACGACTTATGTATTTAGGAAAGAAAGACACCTTCCACAACGTTAGTGAAAAGAAATACAATCCGAGAGACAACTTCTGAGACACTAGCAAAAAGAAATACAATAGCTGTTTACTTTACATTACTGCCCATGATTAAATCTTTATATTATTAAATCTCCAAGAATGAAGGTTCATTTCATTGAGCATAAAAGAGCCTTCCGTTTGCATTTGAGGAATCCAGTATGGCTCATGTTGCACCAACTTGCATGTACACCATCGCAGCAACTAAAAGTCCAAAGCAACTTGTTTTTAGCTCTGGTCAAAGTAGAATGCAACAAGCAAATAACAACAGGAACATCAATGTCACTCAACTCAAAAGAAAACTTACACACAGCTTAAAATAGATAATTGGCAATGTCGAAATATTTCTGTTCCTTTGCCTTCTCAGCAGTCTTATATCACTCTGTTAACGAACCTTACATTATCAGATATATAGCAATCCCAAACTCGAGCACTGTGGCCAAAAAGCAATCCAACCTCCCCTGCATCTTTAGAATATCGCGACTTGCAATGAACTTCCCAAATACGTGCACTGCATGCATGAGAAAACAAAAATCAGCAAATTTTCCATCATCAAAGCAATTTGGAAAAATTACACTGGAGCTGCAGGATTAAAAAATCAACCTACGATCATCAGATACAGAGACCAGTTTGGAGCCATCAGAGGACCATGCGATTCGAAATATTGAACCTTCATGCCCAACAAGTCTACAGATGTGAAAAGCTTCATAGGGAAGACATTCATGGAGGAGACTGTTGCAAGCACGAGAGTTTATGAGGCCTTCTCCTGTGGGCTCAATCGAAGATGGAGCATCATGACGGGGAACCACTTTCCAGATCAAAATCTGTGCAATTCATTCAGGCAATTTGCTTAAGTTTCAACCAGAAGCATAAAGATGCAAGCTAATAGCTAGCAAAACTTTCCGACCCAGACTTTTAGTAAAATTTCGGGAGATATGCCAGATAATCCAACAAAGTCTTGTCCTAATTTAACTATCAGAAAAGGAACGAACACCAAAGAATGAAATAAAAAAAGAAATTCACGGACAAGATAAAGTTCACCCCTTGCAACAACTAATGGAGGATAAAATGATTTAGAGAAGTCGAGTTTCGCAATAAATCTCTAATGTTCAACGGGGCAAAATGATCACATGTTCACCAAAAAGGAGCAAAATCAGAACGCAAGCAATACATATTCACAAAATTTAAGGATTGAATGATTTGCCACCTCATTGTAAATCGTTCCAGATGCAACTTGGAGATCTTCAAGATTGTCACCCCACAACCGCATGGAGTACAGAAGGCATCTCTCTACATTAATAATCCAACCAAAGGTAAAAAACGAGGAAACTCTCAAATCTTTTTCCTTTTTATTTTGATTTCTGTTTTTGCAGGGAATTGGGAGGAGGGGCAGAGGCTTGCGAATTATATATCTCGAAAAATTAAAAATGCGTCCGGTGTTGTCATTGCGTTGACTGCGCGCAGTTGAATCGCGCAAGGAAACTGCAATACCCTCATGCTACTACAACAAAATATAAACAACGGAAAAGAACAGTAAATTGATGACTAACCAGGGGAAGAAACCGCAAGAATCAAGCTACATTTATCGACATCCCAAAGGTGTACGGAGTTGTCACTGCATCCAATAGCAACAGTACGACACCTCTTCAGCTCATCCGAAGAAGTTCCATCGTCCTACTCAATCAAACCATCATAAGGAAACAGAAGAACAATCAAAGCTCGAACAACAGCATTTCGCGAACCAAGAAGCTGGCCAAAACCTCACCTTCAAGAAGCGGACATCCATAACCCAGTGGCTCAACCTCGGCACTGCGGAAATCAACTCCAAATCCGCCGACGACACGGTTCCCCTCTCCTGCGGCGCTTCCCTCCTCCCGACCCGCACGGACAAGCGAAGCAGCTTCACCCTCCTCTCCCCGTACACGGCCACGGCGCGATCGAGCGCCGAAGTAGAAGACGACGACGATTCTCCAGTGAGATCGGCGCCGCCGAGGACGATGCCGTGCACGCGGATCCCCCGGAAGACGTGGAACGTCCGCGGCATGGCCCCGGATTCCAGGTCGAGCAGCGATACCTGCGAGCCGGAACCTGCGAGCAGAAACCGGGAAACAAGCACGTCGGACTGGTGATTCTTCGGGAAGAGAGAGAGAGAGAGAGGGAGAGAGAGAGGGAGTACCGGCGAGGAGGAGTGGGAGAGAGGAGAGGGGGGGAGGAAGGTGGAGGAAGCAGAGCGCGGAGATTTCTCCGAGGTACTGCCCGCTCTGAATCCGCCATTGGCGCCGCCGCTGCTGCTGCGGCGGCGGCGGCTGCTCCTCGACGGGGTCCGCCATTTTCGCTGCGAAATGCGCAGCTGAAGCTCTCGACTGTTGTTGCTTGCTCGTGCTCAGAGTTGCTGCTGGTGTGCGTGCGCTTCGTGAGGTTCAAGAGAGGTTTTTGCCGTGACCCAAAACAAAAAAATTAACACGATCCTTAACTTTACTTTGGATAATACGTAATGTCATCGCTAAATGTTTAATATATTATTCAAAATGATTCATAAATTTTTAATCCAATAAATAATGTAGTTAAACTTTTAATTTATTGATATATTAATAAAAATTTGATATATATTTAATTTAATTCACAAACTAAATAATTCAGTGGATAAATTGAATCTAAAAATATAACATTAATTTAAGACTAAATTTCGATTTAATATGTAATATAATTTTTAATTTATTAAACATGATAAAGTTCAAACTTTTGTATAGTCATCCCTCTCCAAAAAATCAAAAGGATGGCGAAGAAGGAAAAATGCGGTGAGCGTGGATCGAACACGCGACCTTCAGATCTTCAGTCTGACGCTCTCCCAACTGAGCTATCCCCGCATTTCCGTCAGCCTTCTCGTCTTAAGATAAATATATAATATTTTTAATTACGATAATACCAAAGAAAAAAAAGAAGAGAGTCCCGATCGAATGTAATAAGTTGCCGTTTCGGTTCTTCTTCTTCCTCCTACCTTTCCAGACTTTTCTCTCTCTCTCTCTCTCTCTCTCTCTAGTTCTCTCTGTAGTTTCTGCGCAGATTGATGGGGAAGATGACCTCCTTCAGGGACGAGTTCACGTTCGGTTCGTTCGTTCCCTCTCCCTCCCTCTCTCCCTCTCTCTCTCTTTCGATCGATCTTTACGTGCTCCGCCGCGTGCTTGAATTGAAATGCTTGCTCAAGACTGACCCTCCGCCGTTTCTGTCCCGGCAGAGGAAAGGCTGGACGAGTCGCGCGACATCATCGCCAAATACCCAAATCGCGTCCCCGTGAGTCCCCCTTCCCGGCTCCGTCAAAATCCCTTTTTTTTTACATCCCTTGCTTTCCTCTCTCTTTCTTGTTTTCGGGGCATTTCTTGTTCATCGTGGTATCGGGGCACGGCGCTGGGTGATTTTGGGATGTGGGTGTGGTTTTTTCTTGTCTAATTGAAGGTGTTCTTTTTCGTTATCCGCTTTTGATGTTTCTGTTTTTCTTCTTTCTTGAGCGAAGCTGTTTGCTTGACCTGATCGGGACGGTTTCTGCAGGTAATTGTGGAGAGATATTCGAGAACGGCGCTCCCTGATATGGAGAAAAAGAAGTAAGTCGAATGAGTAGTTTTGCTTGCTTGCAGGAGCGATGCGTGAGCATGTTCTGAACCGGAAGCATTCGAACTTTGCATAAGCATCGCTCAGCCCGTAATATACAAGCGGAAGCTATGAATGTTTCGTTAGCCACTTTTAGATTCTAACTGTTAATTGTAATTCTCAAGCTCTGTGGTTCTTTCTGGCAAGCACGAAATGTTCTTGTTTCTTCCTGTATGCCATGCGGGGTTTGCTACGTTGAGTTGTGGCATAGATGGGTACTTGCTTGTGTGGACATTTGAGCCGAACAGGATAGCCGCTGTCTCGGATGACATATGGTCGTCGCGGCTACTATCTTAAGGGTCTCTTGTATCTATCGACTTAAGTGCTCGCTGCAGTTTTGAGAAATGAGAGCTGATGTTGAAAAAGTCGTGTCTTTTAGAGCTTCTTATCGACCGGTTGATGAGGAAAATCGATTAATGAGTATTTTTGTGATGGCTGTTGGTATGTTCTGATGAAAAAGAATGGGGAAAAGTGGGAATGTATTGTCCATAAACACATCAACCAGTACTCCAAGCGCAGCGGCGAGAACGAACATCGGAGCTAATGCAGCTATGCCCCTAACCACAGCGTTTTGTTTTGCTTTGACAGATTTTTGGTTCCTCGAGACATGTCTGTCGGACAGTTCATACACATCTTGAGCAGCAGGCTTTGTCTAGCTCCTGGAAAAGCCCTGTTCGTCTTTGTAAAGAACACGCTGCCACAGACAGGTAAATTTGCCTTCTAGATCTCTTATCTGTATGAATGACTTGTGGGGAAGCTTTGCATTCATTGCCCACTTCTTTTGATTGTTTGCTGCAGCCAGTTTGATGGACTCTGTGTATGAATCGTTCAAGGACGAGGACGGATTTCTGTACATGTGTTACAGTAGTGAGAAAACCTTTGGCTCGCAAATTGTGTAGATGGGTGGATAATGGCCTCTTGTAAAAGCTCTCTATTTTCAATCATACGTGTGTCCATTCATTCAAATTACATTGTTCACCACATGTTACATTGCGGGATATTCAATGTCTATTCGGCGTAATTTCTTTTTACGCCACTGCAAGGGTTAGTGCTTTCTTTCTGCACTAGCCTCAATATGCAGAAGTATTTGTTTCTGTTCCGTCTCTTCATGTATGCTTGCTCTGCTTGCACTTCAATTCTTTTCTAAGTATTCGGAGTGCAGTCAAAGGGCAGCGTGGTCTCTTTGTTCGATCGATGTTCTCGTGCCTTGGAGTGCCTTTGTTTGGTGGCAAAATGTTCAGGGGAGTTGACCTTAAGATGATGTTTCATGATTTACAATTTTTCTAACGGCCTAATTGCGGCATTTCACACGGAGAATGACGATGACCAAAATGCAGGCAATACCAAATGATCACAGATAAGCCACGCTTATCCGAACTCTATAAATTACGTTTAGCAAGTGATACCCGACTAGCAAGTTAAATTGCCGTGTACTTAGTTTGGCAAGAGAGGGACTCCAAAACCGACATTTCGGCAAAAATTAAGCTGATGCTGTAGTAGGGCAAACATTGTCAAATCGGTTAAAAGGGAATCTCGCACAATTCTGTATTTCAACCAAAACCGAACGTTTATATATGGTTTGTCAACAGCACCCAAATCAGCAGCAATTAAAGAAGCTGCTCGTTAAGGGCCCGAAGTATCTCGACAAAAGGGTATAAACACCAGAGGGACCATTGCACCGGAAACAGAAACTTAACCAAACTAATATCATCGAACCTAGCGCTGTAATTCTCATATGAAAAGTAACCTTTGTGTATTATCCACTCTCTGCTGTGGTCCAGGCAACCCATGTGCATAAAAACTGGCCGAGTATCGAGCATCATGCCTTCATCCAACAGCCTTTGATGCAAAAGGATACTTCGCTGAGCACCTAAATTAACTGCCCTGGCCAACTGAACCTAAATGATGCTTACAAACACGATGAGCTCTGAGAAGTAGACATTCTCATGAGTTTCGAGTTCAGTCGTAAACTCCAGAATCCCAAAGAGCTTCATAGTCAAAACTCATATAGCAGAACCACTAGAGTGCTTCTAATAGAAGAGCTTCTGACCGCCGCCGTTCTTCCAAACCCCACGCACAGGCAATGCACCATCAGGATCTCCACTGCCTTTTGATCTGTTATCCACTGGATCAGGATCGGAATCGGAATTCTTCAGGTCTAAAACTGCAGCCTTCGAGTCCTCCCCCAAACGAACTCTGTGAAATTTTGACGTTTTCTTCCGCTGCTTACTCCCTCCACCTCCATCACCAACACTGTTATTAGTTCCACCAGCGGCAGCAGATGCCTCTGATTTTGTTTTACTACTAGAACTCAGTGACAATTGCTGCTCGCCACTAGTCACTACCTTTGATTTCCCATTGACAGATCGGTATCCATCCCTTGATAAAACCTCCACCTCTTCTTCTGGCGGCTTGTACTTTGACTGCATCTCCTGAACGGTGCTCATAATGCTATCAGCCAACTTATTCTTCCGGTTGCCATCAACAGCACCAGTAGATTTACCCTTACCTTTCCTATTACCATCACCATTCCCTAAGAAGTTGTCCCGACTCCAACCACTTTCCCCGACACCACTCCTTCGCATTCTAGCATTATGTGTTTCAATAAGCTCTCTTTGTTTCTCAGTATCGGGGCATAGTCTAGCCAAATCAAGAATCAAATGTGACAATCCAAAATTCTGCACATAATCAAGGTATATTCCTGTGTCAATTGAACCCTGACGATAGTGACCAGAAATCTCTTTGAAAACAGTGTACTTCTCTTGATCATCATCTAGAGCAGCTCGTATCTTTTCTACCAGCGATTTGTTTGCAGCTTGGACATCTTCCACCTTTGGCAAAACCTGGCTTGTGGGAGCCATTTTGCGCACCTGGTTAGCAGAGACCGGTGGAAATTCAGATGGAGATGGCTCCATAGATGCCCTCTCAACAAGATTAGGCGCTGATGAAGAAGGGATCATCTTATTGGTGCTACTGCTTTCAGTATGCTTAGAAGAGCCAGCTGACATAACTGCGCGAGCTTTAGCAGCCCGACTCTGACCCTTAGCCAAACTAGCATAACTTGATAAAGTAAGTCCATTACTCATACTTGGGGTCGCTACAGATGCAACATTTGCTGTATGCGCAGATGAAGAAGTTGATGAGAATGAGGAACGACTTGCAGCCGGCCAAGCCTGAGATGGACTTGTAACATTCTTGCGTCGAAGACGGGCAGCCATTGTGTTCTTTGACAGACCTTCCGAGTCCCATTTGTTTGCCTGTTGACTGGAGCTTGCAGCCATGGGAAGAGGAGGAAAGGCAGTTTCTTGTAGAGGTCCACTCTGAGAATTTTGCCCCAAAGCTTGGAGATATCTTGAAGAAGGTTCGGAATCAGTTGTGTCAAGGGACTCAAACGGCTGGACTATTTCATCTATATCGTCCAAATCTCCAGGATCAGTAATTATATGTGCATTGGTCGATAAGGATGGATCAGGCCGAGGACGATCAACGTTTGCAGTCTCTAGACTGGCTTGAATGGCCATTGATATCTGCTCTTCAGCAAAATCACGATGAAATGTCCTACTCCTTCCACGGCGACGATCTTGCTCATTGCCCCGACGGTATCGAAAGCTGGTGGGTATCTAATAGTAGAATAACAACATTTAGCCAAAGCATCAAGAAAGGGAAGAATGCCAACATTATATAACAGAGTCAACTTGCCTATAAGCATACTCAAAATAACGAGTGATCAACAGTAGGGTCACCAACTGAAAAACGCTAGGATGCATGATATTCTTCCCTCAGAATTACTCAAATCGATAAACCATATGTACCTGTAGTGCAGCATTCCGCTTAGAACGAGACATACGCCCACCATGTTCCAAGGTATTATGCCGCTGAAATAATCGGATATACACGCCTTTAGAGGGACTGCTAACACAACTGCATATATACTAAATAGATGATGACTAACCAAAACACAAATGACTGCAATTTTTTCCTAATCTAACATTTAACAAATCTAACAAGTGTCCAATTCGGACTATTTCATGAGCCATGATCACAGACCTTCATTTCTGCATCAGATTGAAAGACAATAAACTTTTTGGCAAGGCAAGCCTCATCCTCACACAGGAAGTGCTCTTGACGGAAGTGTATCTGTGAGAAACAAGTTTTAATAATACATAAATGTAAGAGATGTTCTCTCGCCAAAGAGAGAGTTAAGACTGTAGGGTAAGATATATGAACATTGATATCTTACTTCTAAATCATCATAGTCCTTAAAGTATTCATATTGACCTGGGTGCTGCCTGCATTATCAGCAGTAAAGATGAGCTCTCCTGAAGATTCGGAATTTCAAATAGTATTATAAGTCCTAGTAATACTGCAAAAAATTTACCTTTGGCAAATAAAACACGTATAGTGTTCTGTCGACATATGAGTGTACAGTTCATTATCCCCATAAAAAGGTGTTCTGCAGAACTCACACATAGGATGCCCTGTGAAGCCACCTCTTTCACTCTCACTTCCATCAACCTCAGAATCTCCTGTGCTTATGTGGTGATTCAACTGTGAGCGACTATATAATTTCTGCTCACAAATGAATACCTGAATCACCAAAAAAAAAAAAAAAAAAAAACGGAACATCAAACGCAGACAAAGCCAAGAAGGCAAGCCCTGTGGTAAGAATTCCATCTAAAATGCATTCGTATCATGTTAGATTCCACTATCTCCCCACCTTCCGCCCTTCCAAGCACAGGCTGCACATGAGTGCTTTATGCTGATGAAACAAATGACCCTTCAGCTGTTCGATATTCCTAAACCTCGCCCGACGTTTAGAGACATCATTGGTTTTCTCCTCTGATTTGTCACAAATACTACATGAAAGCTTGCACATTGCCTTTACCATCCTATAATGGTCAACATCATCAAAAAATGCCTGAGTATCTTCATGGAACCAATATGACCCAACGCGACCTTCTTTTGGTTCAGAAGGCAGTACTGAAAAGTCGTTGATTGTCCTCGTATAATCTCCTAATGCCTGGAAAAAGCAGCAGCATGGAGATTATTCAAAGCAAAGTAATCACTGCTAGAACTGAATACAAGGACAACCGAATCAACTAAAAGAAACCTGAACCAGGAAGAGGATATCACTCCCAAGGCACACTGAAACAGCAAAGGCGTAAATTTGGAAAATAATATAGCAAGTTGTAACAATCAAAATGAAATCTCAAATCAAGGAACTCCGCATATGACTTCATATCGATTCCCAAAATCAGTATATCTTATAAGAATCCCAGAATATGCAGTTGAGCTAACGTATCATATAAGATGATAACAAGGATTATTTTTAAAAAAACAGATAATACTCCTGCAGATTAATTTGGACTTCACACCAAAAAATCAACATCTAGCAATAGACCCTCCGACGAAAACTATCTGAATTAGAAAAGGTATGTCATAGTCGTTCAGCATATACAAGCTTTAGCTAAAATTAAACTTGATCGTGGGCGGTAACCAATCCAGCTTTTAATCCTTCTACACTAATAAGAACACCATAGCCACTGGAGTTTCTCAATCAACTGCACAGAGAATTTCAACTCCGCAGGCTTCACACCTTTAGAGGAATGCAGATCACACAAAAGCATAGTCGATCAAAGATCGCGCTTAGTCTTTCCGTTTGAACTCAAACTAAGCCTAATCGCACAATCAAACAAAGTATATCATGGGACTTTAGACCGTGTCAACACTATCACATCATGGGTCGTGAACTCATCGCATCACCTGTGTGCAGTGGTGCATTATCATTGATCTGAGCGGTGATGGCGCGTGCACACAATCGTACTAACACCAATTACCAGCAAACCCATCCACCCCCACGAAGAAAAGTAAAAAAAAAAAAAACCCAACACCGCCACGAAAATCCAATTCGTTCACTTCGATCCACAGGGACAAGATCAACGCCACTCGTCGGGGAGGGGGAGGGGGGGGCCCTCACCTTGGTGACGAAGACGACGTCGCTATCGGTCTTGCAGATGCAGCACCGCCGGTCGTCGCAGATGAAGCGGAGGCGGGCGACGCAGGTGGAGCAGACCTCGCGGTGACCGCAGGCGCCGTAGGCCACCCACTCCAGCGCCTCGGCGCACACGGCGCAGGAATCGTCCATCTCCTCCGCAGGGGGGGGGGGGGGGGGGGGAAGGAGGGCGGCGCCGCTCTAGGGTTTGCAGAGCCGGCGAAATCGAGGGGCGTGGGGTGGGGGGCGATCGGAGATGCGCCGCGGGGGGAGCGTTGAATCTTGCGCGCAGGGTAGGATCGCCGCGGAGACGGGAGGAGCAGAGATTTGCGAGATGACGATGACGATGACGACGGCGAAGATGAAGATGAAGGTGAAGCTTTTTATGGTGGGATCGAACCTCAAAGTTTCGATTTTTCTTCAATACGAGCTCGGATTGGCGATGGAGGTGGGTGAGGCGAAAGGTTTGGGCAGCAACAAATTTTTCTGATTTTGGATTTTCGATCGTGAAATTTTTTGTAATCTTCTTTTTAATTTTGGGGCCTCGAGAGAAGTTTCCTTATGTTTTCCTTTTAATTATTTTGTTATTTCCGAGGAGATAACAACTAAAACGATCTTTAGGCTTTTAATTTTATTCAATACAATCCATTAACTTTACTTAAATAGGTAATGTGATCCCTGAATTTTTAATTTTTTTCAGCATGGTCCCTAAATTTTATCTCATCGTGCAATGTGATCCATGAACTTTTAATTTGTTCAATACGGCCAATGAATTTTTTTATACATATTCAATTTAGTTCCCGACCATTGATTTAAGTTCGAGGATAACATTGAGCATCTTCATGTAGTTCAGGGACTAAATTGAATGTGTACCAAAAATTGAGGGACCGTATTGAATAATTAAAAATGCATGGACGATATTGCATAATCAAACTAAAATTTCAGGACCATGCCGCGCATTGGACCGAAATTGAGGGATCATTCGGATCCACTCTTGCAGGTAACGGAAACGAAGGAAAGTGTGAATTGTTCTCAGGTTCTCAAGTCGGACCGGCGGAAAATTTGACTGGGAATAACTGTCTATTAAAATAAGAAGGGAAATTTCAATGGTATGGTCATAGTAAAAAGCATGGGAAGCCAGCGTCAATTTCTCTTCTTTGTTTCCTCCCTTTGTCTTTTAAACATGTGTCCCAGGACACTTCTTAGCCATATTGAGTAAGGGAACGTTTTTCATTTTTTCGGTGCACCGACTACGTGCAAAATGATGAAAACAGCACATTAGGGGCATCGAATCTCAGACTTGGTACTCTCTAACCCCATCCTTCAGTCCTTTTACCAGTGAGGCCGTGTGTCTGTTGGCATGAAGCGCTTGTTAACGAAGTCATTTTGTCCATATCCGATGTCGGGTTGGGTCAAACCAAAGAAACTTGCGACTTGTTTTTTCTGATGTCGGAGTAAACCTAATTTTGTACTGAAAGATAGTAGAAATTAACCATTTGGAAGATAAATAAGTGGGCTTTGAGAGTCCCGTGTGAAAAAAATTAAAAGGAATCGGTCCCACCATAGGTTGTAATTTTTGAAAATTTGTTGTGCATTACCTAAAACTATCGTATCAATCACACTTTAACTTTATAGGTTGTAATTTATCTAAAGTCGTCACAGCTTATTTGTCACTCATCGCTAGTAACTTACCGTTATGGACAATTTCATCTATAGAGTTCACAATGTGAAATGTCATAAATCTTGATAGGTGACGGCACCAATACTTAGTAATTTTCCCCAATAATTTTATTTCTCCTTTAAGTTCTTGTGAATGACAAGTTAGTAATCATTCTTCAAATGCCACAAATTCATCTAAAAGTCTCGTGAAGTTGATTTCCCTAATACTTGCAATTTCTTATGAAATATTGTAAACAACCGAGTTTATTGTAAATAATTTACCTATTCTTATTAACTTATTTCAATGATTGTAACATTCTTTTATATGTTCCCGTATAGTGAATAATTATCCTCGTATATTGTAATTTCCTTCAACCAATAGCGAGAATGACAAATTTGTAGTTACAATCATTTTCCTTACACGTTCGTAAGTTAGTATCGTTCTAAAATCAACTTACGGTCGAAATTCATCGTCTAATCTAACGATACAAACTGAATGGGACCATTGTCGTGTTTTTCTGTACAGGATCATAGAATTATCCCCGAATTAGTACATTCAACTTTAGTCGTGTATTTACACTTTTTATCGAACATGTATTAAGAGTCAAAAACTAAAACACAAGGTATCCTCCTCCTAGGTTTCTCTGGTCAGGCAAGAATCAAAGAATCTAGTGAAATTGATAAAGAAGAAAAAGCAAAGAATTTGGATAGATCAAGCTGTTCTTCTCCTTGCCCTTCTCAACTCTCAAATGGTACGATTTCAGAATAAAGCAACGGGCAAAGCAAGAGAATGAAGCAACTGTACCTTGGAAACGAAGAAAGCTGTCATGATAAATAATCTCTATTGATCCCCTCTACAACCATCATTCAATCAACCCTCAAAGTTCGGTTGAGTTGAAGATCTCCAAGTTTTGAAAATGACTTCTATGGAAAAATGCGGCGAAGCCGACCACGGTACGTCGCCTCAAGTATAACAACATAGTTCATGTGCTGCACGAGTCTCTCTCTTTCTGGTGGTAAAAAGATTGTCAACGTACTAGGATTTTTCAATTTTTACATGAATAACTTGGAGTCTCGGATATAATTTGCACTCGGAATTGAAGGTTACCATAAGAAACTTGTCGTTTGATTGGTTTCTTCTGGTTTTTTGTCGATGCAGTAACGACGACGGAGGTTAGAGACGTTGCACCGGCGCATTTTGTGCTCAAGATTAAGTCCTTCTCTTTGTTCACGATGAATGACGTGGAGAAGTATGAATCGGGCGACTTCGAAGCAGGAGGATATAAATGGTTCGTTTCTGTACTCTCTAGTCTCCACCTCACACTCTCACATTCGAAGGCATAAAAAGAAGTATTTACAATTTCACAGTGGTTTAACATCGCATGCCAAAAACACGGGTCAGCTAACTTTTGAAGAGATTGTCCATCATATGGAATCCTACGGCTATGCCCCAAATTTGGGCCTTTCTTTCATAGAATGGTTTAAATACTTTACAGGCATTAATTTCTGTTACTGCTAACAGTCTGGTGTTTGGACCTTTTTTTTTCATGTACGTTACGTGATCGGGAGCATCTTGATTCTGTAGGAAACTGATCCTCTATCCCAGTGGAGACAAGAGCCGAAACGGAGAAGATCACGTCTCTATATATCTGGCGGCTTCCGGGAAGAGTCCTTTCCAACTTGGTGGGGAGATTCACGCAGCCGTCAGGTTCTGTTTGTATGATCAAAACTGCAATAGGTATTGGACTGAACAAGGTAAAAGCTCTGTAATGACAGCAAAAAGGCAAGACATTGTCACCTTGTGAACACTAACATAAAATTGACGAAATTTCGCTTGTGAATTGAAGGGAGAGTCATAAGGTTTCATGCATTGAAAACCGAATGGGGAGTTTCGAAATACATGCCATTGGAAACTTTCAAGAACCCGTCTAACGGGTACCTTGTGGACGACACTTGTATCTTCGGCGTGGAGGTTTTCGTCATCAAGAGTTCGGGAGTTGGCGAATGTTTAACGCTAAAAGAGAGCAAATCTTGTATTCATGAATGGAAGCTAGCGAGGCTGTCAAGCTTGGATGATGGAACTTTCTCTGAAGTGTTCGCTGTTGGAGGCCACAAATGGTAGCTTCTATTTACAAACTTTTTCAATGATAACTCTTGCTTTTGCGGATACATAATTTTTCCTATCTAAAGCTGCTATTTTCATTTTCTTCACCAGGAAGGTGTGGCTATACCCGAGGGGTAATTTGGCTACCAGGGGCAAAAGCCTTTCAATATTTCTCGTTTTAGTTGATCCGGGCAAACCGGCTTCTAGACAGAAAGTGAACACAAGATTCGCCTTTCGGTTAAAAGGCCGAAACAACGTTGTACATTATCAGCGGGGAGGTAAAATGTTTGTTCTCATGAGTGGATGAGTGCCACACTTCAAGGCTATTGTAAATAGTAGCAAAAACAGAAAGTCCACAGCAATTCTCAAACTCAATCACACGATGAGCTCCTTTCTCACCACAGTACACCACTAAATAAATTGCACCTGTTAATAAGTAGTGTATTCGATTTTTATATAGTCCGTCGGTATGGCTAGAAACCGCTGATAGCTTTAATCTTTCCAAACTGTAATTTTCTGCACTCTTGCCGTGTCTTTGCTACTTTGCAGCTTGTACTGTATGGTTGAGTAGCTCCCAAACGAACTGGGGTTGGCCTGCTTTCATGCCACTGGAAGAGGTTCGGAAACGCCTGGCGGATGATTCATTTGTTGTTGAGACCGAAGTCACGGTGCTCGGCACAGTTAGCAACTTGGCATGACAGCACTATATGTACTGGATGTGTTCATAAACAGACAATTACTGATGGTTGTTTCCTCTTTGACAATAATACATCGGTTGAATATGTTTATGCATTAAGGTCTGCAGACTTCCCTGCCTCTGGTCAGATTTCTCCTAGACATTGCTCATTAATCATGTCGATGCTCCAAACAAGTTGCGACGATTTCGCATTTTCAACCTGAGTCTCCATTTGGTAGGCCCGATAGTGCAAGTTGTTAACAACTCAATTCATTCGCATCATACGACATCATCAGCATATCAAAGAATACAAGGATTAGTCACACGCCTGATGCAGGGTTGCTACAAAAGCCGAAAACTTGTATACCAAATCGAATCAATCCGAACCAAAGCAAACCGTCTACGACGAGTCAAAGGGACTCTTTATTCAGTGAAACAGAACGCATCAAAGAGACAAAATGGTTGATTTTTGAAAATTTTTTGCAGATGATTGACCTCATCTAAGGCTTCATTTGTTTTGCATAAAATGAATAATTTGAAAAATATTTATATTTTTAAAAAAGATCGCTTGTGTCGCTTGAAATAATTAGTTGATGAAAAATATTTTCATCGCCTATAACGATTTGTGTCTAAATATTTTTGTAGATGATAAAAATATTAAACGTTAATTCATTTGATTGTTTTTAGAAAAATATTTTTCAAATCATTCATCTTTTGTAAAACAAATGGAGCCTAAATAATCTCTCAGGACCCAACAATCCAAAACTTGGAAGCATCTGTAGAAAGAAAAGGCATAATTCCAAATCCTTGCATGTATTCCCACTTTAAAGCCTAATGTAGAGCCAACCAGAGTCAGCGAACGCATTCATATGAGGAAATTGGTTGAGTTGAGAGATTCGAATTTCTTGCAGCATAAAAAGGATCTTAGTAGCAAGTGTCTCTGTAACATTGGTTAACCATATCTAATAAAAAAAAAGTACTCATTTTTTATGCAATAATTGTGCATCGCGTGAGAAAGACGGCTTTATGGAAATGAGAAGTTTTTTCTTTTTATTTGGATGTTTGACAAGTGCCTCCGAGCGATCGTACCTCACTAAGAATAGCACATCTATAGACCATCGCGACTACTCTAGATCTATAGTGCCTAAAAATGTAAGCGAAAAAGCAACAGTACAAGAAGGAACTACTAAAACAGTGAAATGTATGACGAAGCTGATGATGGTACGTAGTTTCGCTCCTAGTTTCTCTAAGCCTGGAATTAAAAGTATCTCAGACAATATGTGATTCTTGGACATGAACCCGTCAGTTGATTACTCTCTGTTTGTTCATTGGCTTTGTTTTTAACTGAATAGGAATAGCTAAGAAGTACACAGATGTCTCACCTGCACATTATGTGTTCAAGATAGTGTCCTTCTCCCTGTTTTGGGAGAACGACATGGACATGTATGAAACTATTGAATTCGAATCTGGAGGCCACAAATGGTGCTCTCTCTTTCTTTCTCTCTCTCTCAATGTGCGCGATGAGGAACGTGCTGCTTTTTTGGCATTGCTTCGCTGCCACATACATGGTATTGGATAACGGAAAATTAATTCGATTCACACGAGGTCAAAGTATTCCAAAAACAAATGCCATGGTTCCACATTTATTCAAAGGATCACATTGCCACAAATCTGAAATACTGAAACCAGAAAAAAAAAATGTAAAGAGACTGGATTGACCAACGATTTTAAAGGTTAAGGCAAGTGGTGTGGTTACCCTATCGCCGAATAAATTGGAGACTTATAAGACTAATTGAGTTTATCATTGTAACTGTCTTTCTGTCATTTAGTTGGAAAAAAAGAGTAGAGTAAGAAAGACATACCTCACCTTTTAACTGACTTCAATGCTACTCTCGCATCCGTTGGTAAAAGAAAAATATTAAGCGATGATAATGTTGTCATTATTTTCATGTAAAGAGAAATATGGATTCGAAATATATGCATATGTATATTCACTCGTAGAATTGCTTAGTAATTAGTGGAAAAATTTATTTGTGATTTCGATTTCACGTACCATTAAGTACAAATGACTTCACGTGAAGAATTTATGTCGGGTCGTGGGGGACTCTTGTCCCCACTCCCCTCTTTGGAGTTGAGATGAATTAGGTGATATGAAGTCCTTAAATAATGCTTTACTAGACCTTCAAATTGGGTTTTGCCCCGTTAAATATCTCAAAAAATATAAACAAGTCATATTATGGGGAAATTGCCCTCTCAAAAAAAAGAAATAAACAATTCTAAAATATAGTAGTTGTAGATAAACAAAACATTACTTTTTACCAGACTTTTGAGATTTTTATTTCCAAAGTAAATATACTCGATTTCTTTGTAATCAAGCATCATATGTGCCCGAGCCAAGGAAAAATTATGGATACGTCCCCGTTCCCCATTCTTTAATCTCACTTGCGTCTTACCAAGTTCATGGAATCAGTAAGGTGCTTCATAAGTTTTATCATTTTAATTATTTGTTTTTTTGGGATAATCGCTCAAAATCCCTTATAAAGTTTGAAATTTAGCAAGGTTTCATAATACACCGTTAAAAAGTAGAGTTTATCTCTCTTAACTTTGACTGTAACAGCCCGAATTTCGATGTAATTCCGGGATCAATAAAATTGATATTATTTCGCATTTCATTTTAGTAAGTTTCGCCCAGAGCTGATCACTCTCGGGATACTAACCAATAGGGTATGGCTAACTAGAAAGCGGTACGTGGATCAGGGACCCGATCGCGAATCGGATACCGATCACGAGAAATGATGAGAGAATATTATGAATCAATGTGGGCCGATCTTAGGGAAGGTAATGGATTTGGTTTGGCCAAGGCCAACGATGTACAATCGGATCGCGGTGATTCCGCACGACCGAGAGTGCACTTGGCCAACCATCTGAACTTAAACGGACGATCGTGACCTTTGGGACTAGTGATAATTTCTCATTCTCTCAATGATCGGGACCATCATGACTCGGATAACCCTAGGTCGATACGCGTAACCTTTAAACAGCCGCCGTTAGTGAGAGACCCCGAAATTGGAAATTGAGCGAGTTTTGATCACGAAATTGGGCCCGGATTTCGATGTTGATTTTCGATGGTTTAAGAGACTATTTTTGGGAATCGACGTCATATTATGCTAGCCACGCATATTTTGAGTTAGTATAGTTAAAAAGTGGAATTTTGGTCCGGGGTGAAAAATTACATTTTTGCCCCGTGGACACCGATGCTTGGATTCGGAGGCCGTTTGAGGTTATTTTTCGCGGCCAAGGTCATTTTGGGGTGGCCACGCACATTTAGAGTGGTTTTGGCCAAAAATTGGAATTTCGACAAAAATTGGAAAAATAATAATATTTTATTCCCGAAACTTTGCAGTCAATTTTCGAGGGCTTAAAAAGTGAATTTCGCGAATCCGACGCCATATTATGTTGGCCACGCACATATGGAACATGTATGTGTGAAAATTGGAATTTCGCCCTAGGATCGGAAAAATGACGGTTTTGCCCCTGGGCTATTTTCGGGTCCGAAATTTTTTGAAAAATTTTGGGGTAATTAAATATGGATTATCAGCTGCATTATTGGACCTAAAGACCATATTGCCCATCAATTATTTAGCTAGAACGAACGTCGGCCGTTGGATTAGGGGTATTTTGGTCAAAATCGTCGGATTTGCGACACGTGGCGCCCCTAGGCTGCTGTATTTGACCAGATCTGACCTCTCTCTCTCTCCTCACTCCCCCTCACGGCCAGAACCTCCCCAGAACAGCAGCCCCTTCAGTTTTCTCCCCCATTTTTCTCTCTTTTCCTCTCTTGTTTGGCTCGCCGGAGCTCGTCGCCGCCACCGGAGCACCGCCGCCGACCACCGTGCCCCGCCGTGGACCACCTCAGCCCCCTCAGCCTCAGCCTTGCCCTGGCCGACCCTTTCTCTCTCCCTTTCTCTCTCTTTCTCCCTCTTTTTCTCTTTCCCGTCCGGCAAAAAGGGCAGCCGAGCTTCACGGAGCTCGGATCGCTGTTCCGTCACCACCCAGATCCGGCCCACTCGTCGTATGACGCCGGCCATACCTGTCCGTACGGTGTCCGTACGGAAGTTCTTTAGCAGGATCCGTACGGAAGTATCGTTCATCACGTCCGTACGGGTCACTTGTTCACGCGTCGCCGGGAATTCCGCCGCCCGGTTTCACCGTTCACCGGTGATCGGCTGCCGTTCCCCGTCGTTGTGACCTCGGATTAAGTGAGTAAAATTCCTAAACCCGGATTAGGACCGATAGTGCGTTTTACGGGCGATTTAGGTATTATCGGTGTATAATTCGGACTGGATTGAGGGCTGATTAGTGGAAATAAAATCCGAGGAATTTAGTGGGATTATTATGGACAATTATTGGGCCCGGATTGAGGAAATAGCGGCTGTCCATATTTTGAGGAATGTACCGGATTATAATGGACAACAAGAATTATTAGCTGAATGACCGGGATTACCCAGAATGATTGGCTATTGATTGATTGGTGATCAATTGTGTTTAATTGCGAAATGCTATATTGCGTGCTTGTGTGGCTGAATCGTGCGGAGTGTGATTGGCCAATTGATGGCTTGAATTGTGTATTTGGAATTGGGCCGCACGGTATTAATAGGCCAAGTAAGCACGTGGCTTGTGAATTAGGCACCTTGTGGAATGACTTTGATTGAGCGTGTGCTGTGCCTATGTTATGTGGATGCTCATGTTGCATTTCATGGCACGCATTATGAATGCCGAGAATGAGGCTTGTGATGAAATTGTGTGAGGCTGCGTGCTGTCATGAGCATGTGATCACCTAAAATACCCCCGATGCGTGTTACGCGGGGTTCAGATAACAATGAGTTGTGTGATCACCTAAGGACCTTCGGGTCATGACCTTCGGGTCGATACCGTCCTCATGCACTTTGAAGCGGGAGACGATGCCCGTACGTCCGAAGACGACCATCCTCATGCACTTTGAAGCGGGCTCGGTTCGTAAGGAGATCGAGTGTTGCGCCTCATGCACTTTGAAGCAGGCTAGACGCACCGGGCCGTGAATATTGTTGACTCGAGTCGTCGTAATAAATAATAAATTGGACGATTGCCAGTGTGGGCCAGTGGGCCGGGAAATGCCTGTGACATGTCGATGACATTTACAGGCATAAACATGCATGGACTGGCATGCGAGTGTGTGAGACTCGGTGCATGAGCATGTGATTGACGTACGTGTGATAATGTGTGCCACGTACGTGCCGTGACTATTATATGTTGATCTGTCTAACCTGCAGGGTCAGAGAATTATTTGATTGTTGTTGCATTATGGTTTCAAATATTTATTTCCGGTCAGGAGATTGCATGCTAGCCTAACTTAGGTTTAGGGGTTGAACTCGCTGAGATTCGTCTCACGGTTGTGTAAACCGAAACTTTTCAGACCCCCAGCCGTAGGATGCCGAGGACATCACCTCTTTTGGGATACCGCATTTTATCCAGCGGTCGTCAAGCATGCACCCCAGGTGGAGACGGAGCGAGAAATGAGAAGTGGCTGTTTGGTTATTCCCACTGTTGGTGTTTCCGTTTTGGTTGTAGTGAATGCTGTAAAAAGAGTTTTAAAATAGTAATATAAGTATGTACATATTTTCTGCGTTGATCGTTGTTTATTGCTTGGCTATCCTTGGCTCGTATTTTATTATTGTTAGGGTTTGTTTATTTATTCCGCTTGTGCTTGATCTCTGTTGGGCATTGGGTCGGCGACGTTTCCTGGGACGTCGCAGTTTGTCGACCGAGGTAGGGATGTTGCGTGCCGTGGGGTACGGGGGGTGACATTGACAAATTTGCATTATAGCTCCTCAACTTTAAATTTTTGTTGTAGTGGCTGATTTTTCTATTTGCACAGTAATTAATGACGAGGAAACCTCTACTACATGATTAATAAAGTTAAGAAAAATCAAGAGGGATGCATTGTCAATGGAGCTACAAAATTCAACAAAGATTATTTTGGTAAAGAGAAACGAGGGAATTCATCTCTAGTAACACTTAATAGCAATGATTGCTAACATCGAGAAGATAATATGTAACTTTTCAAAAGTCGGGATTATCATGCAAAGGTGGCAAAGTTGGGAGATTTTAAGCGATCAACTTCCTTTTTTCTCTCCCGGGTGGGTATGGAGTGATGACGCATTTTCGACTAAGCACAGTGAAAAGAAGAGAACTTTGAATATGAATCGAACCAAACCACCGTTTCAGTTCTTTGTCTCTATGCCTCCACAACGATGATTTTCTCGGAAAACGAAGCGACTGAATCTTGGGAAACAAAAAAAACAGCAGCCTTTTTTCTTCCATTTCTCTCACACCACCAAAGACCATCAGAGCCATCAAGCATCATCCGTACTGTAGCTACTTGAAGAACCATACGATGCCAAAGGGAAAAAGTGAAGCAACAGATTCGAATGCTGCTGAAGTGGGCGACGAACATGATGGTATAATTCCTTCTTTGAGTTCTCCAGAAACACAGAGAATAAATGAACTTGTGGAATTCTTTGGCTTGACGATATGTCTATTGAACTTCTTCAGTTGATTTTTTTTTCCCTTTATGGGCCTAATGTTGTTTCGCTGTTTGTGATTTGAGGGGGTTTTAACTGAGCAGAGATAACTACGGATTCTAGAAAGATCTTGCCGGCGCATTATGTGTTCAAGATCGAGTCTTTCTCTCTATTATCAAAGAACGACATCACCACGTATGAGACAAACGAGTTCGAAGTTGGTGACCAGAAGTGGTATATCTATTATCTCTCTTTGCAAGCACAAATTTTTGTGTTACTCCATGCTCGCTGTCTTTTAGTTTTTATTGTTTCTTAATATTGACAGTGAAGATTATGGTATATATATTGTCATTGGAAAGTGTCAGAAAAGTCCTAAGCCTATTGTATTAATTACAATTCACCAATTGGGCAAATTTAGTTCTAAACATTTTGTATTTGTGCCGATTGAGTGACGTGAATGCCGGCCGTCTTATGTGGCCAAGGCTGAGGTCGCCTTCGCCAGCACTGGCGAGGCTAGCCTCACTCGCGCCTTTGCCTCCATGTTCTTTCTGCGAGATGGGTTCCTAGGTTTCGAGCCGTGGAGTTGGGTTGCAGTGGACGGAGGGAAGGAAGAAGGAGTGGAGGTGGAAGCCATTGTCGTCTGTGGAGATAAGCCTGCGAGGCTTTGGGATGAAAATGCTGCGCGCAGAGCAACAGGAAGGAGAATACCTAGCTAGCTGCGTGTGAGGCCATGGCCGCCTTCACTCGTAGTTGGCTAGGCCCTAGCGAGGCTGGCCTCGCCCACTCCTACCTCCGCTAGGCGAGGGCCATGACACTCACCGGTGGCCGGTGAGGGCTTCGCGGCCCTTGCTCGGAGGCCGGTGAGGGCTTTGCGGCCCTCACCCAGTGGCCAATAGAGGAAAAGAAAAAAAGAAAACAAGGAAAAAGAAAAGAAAAATTAATAAAAAATAAAAAGTTTCGAAAAGAATTTTAAAAAATTATTAGAAATGTCCACACGCTGGTCGTGTCACGCGTCCATGTTAGTGATTTCCAACTTAAAGTGGCTGGATATACTCAATTGACACAAATGTAAAAGGTTTAAATTGGCATAATTGAAATGTTTAGGACTGAATTGGTATCAATGTAATAGATATAAGACTTTTCCGACACTTTTCCGTATATTGTCAATAAAAAGGCTTGAGGGTGTCTTTTAGCTTGTATTGTTCTTTATGATTGAATCGACATTTTAGGAGGCTCAGATGAGTGTAGTGTATGTGGGTATCCAAGTAAAGATGTGGTTAAGGTGGGTTGTTTCATGCGATTATTGGTAAATTTCATGCGACTATTGGTGACTACACGATTGCTAATTAAGCATTGTGATGCGGTCCTTCATTGAAAGAAACAAAAGGCTCCAATTTTGTTCGGTGAGGACAGAAAGTTTGCTCAAAGCTCTCAAAATTGAAGATCTTTTGATGGGCAAATCTCTCGCTATTCAGCTAACAACGGAAACCCTTCATGGGTATATGTCTCTTGAATCTGATGCTCTGTCATTGTGTAAGAGATTGGTTCTCTATCCTAATGGAGACAAGAGCAAGAAGGGAGAAGATCACCTGTCCCTATATCTGGCTGTTTCTGAGGCCAATCCTCTGAAAGTTGACTGGGAGATAAATGCAACTGTTAGGTTCTTTGTGTTCGATCAAATTCGTGATGAATACTTGGTAAAAGAAGGTACGTTTGTTCCCTAAATCTTTTAAAGAAAAAGTTATCTACACCTTTGGTAGCTTGGAGAACTCTCGCTTTATATGTTGCAGGGAAAAAGAGCAGGTTTCATGCAATGAAGTCCAAATGGGGTATTCCTAGATTTATGCTGCTAAAAACTTTCATCAATCCATCGAACGGCTGCCTTGTCGATGACACTTGTGTGTTCGGAGTGGAGGTTCTTGTTGTCAAAAGCTTAGGTCTGAGTGAATGCTTGACACTAACAGCGAGTCCGATGTCTGTTAGTCACGAATGGAAGATATCAAACTTCTCTACTTTGGTGAATGATTGCTACTCTGAAGTATTCACGGCGGGGAATCACAACTGGTAGCTCTTATATTATGAATGTTAACTTTGTATCTGCTCATACCTTTCTATCCGTGTTTCCAAGCGTTTTTCATTGGTATCCGAGGGGTGATTCGAGTGAGAGGAACAAAAGCCTTTCAATATATCTTTCTTTAGCCGATTCAGGGAAACTCGATCTTGGGCAGAAAGTTAATGCAAGCTTTGTTGGAGTTGGCGAATACTTTGGGAACCCTTGTTTCTCACACCGGGTACGTCCACGTGAGCTTAGGGAAACTGAAGTGTTATTCGACGACATGTGACCCCTGCGTGCGGAATGCGGGGGTTCGGGGGCAGCGCCCCCGACACGGGTGTCCCGCTGCCCGATCAGCGGGCGGGGGTTCGGGGGTAGTGCCCCTCGACGGGGGTTCCGCTGCCCGGTCAGCGGACGGCTGCCCCGCTCGCCGGTGAGCGGGCGGGGGCAACGCCCCCGAAACCTCAACGGGTTTGGGCTTTTATTTAAGCTGGCCTGTATGGTGCGAGATTAAGAGATTTCGTATAGGTTTAGGTTTTTGGCCCGTTTGGGGCACATATATATTTTGCTCGTTTTTCTGATCATTGTAACAAGTTGAGTGGCTGTAAACCGAAAATATAGTGAAATCTCTTTGCAGGACGTAGCCCTATTCGAGGGTGAACCTGGGTAAATTCGTGCATCGTTTATTTTCTCTGATTTCTGCGTGATCGTTCTATTTCGGTTCTCGATGCGTCCCTTCAAGCTTCACCATTCGGTTGAGAGGCAAAGATGGCACTGTTTATGAGGAGCAGACGACTAGAAGTAACTCTCTCAACTAAAATTGGTGCAATAACTCAATACAATCTCTAGAGTAGCTGTTGTTTGGGTTGGAGATACTAAATCCAATTTCTTTTGAGGGTTGGCATCATTATTCGAAATCAGGGCGATCTTTCAAGTTTCTGATAGCATAAATTCTTCGCCAGGTACTTCCATACATTTGTCTTAACATGACTATCAATGTTCGCTTTGCAGGTTCGCACTGGTTCAGTCGTCCGACCACTTCGTGGGGTTGGCCTTGTTATGCGTCCCTGAAAAAGATTCAAGATTCCCTTGTGGACGATCTTTGTATCATTGAGGCCAAAGTCACCGTCCTTGGCACAGCTAGTCAACTGCCCTAGTAGTTGGATTGAGCTCGTGATAGGGCGGTTCCTACCATTGTTTCATCCCCGTACTGCTAATAGTTTTACGCCAGTAAAACTTGTCGAGCTGCTCTTTCGCTACTAGTGGATCGATGTTTTCGTCTCTTTTAATTCATGAGTTCCTCTAGCATAGACGAATTGTTGATCCTATACTCTCCTACTTGCTCACGTTCACAAAATCAATAGCCAATTCCGACTTTAGAAAGATTTCCTGTGAAGCAACTCCCAATTGCAGCTCCGTTTCGTGGCATCCTTTTTGCTGTCACATGCTTCACATCTGATTACAAACAATTATCTCGAGCTGCATCAAGACTAAACATTTCAAAATGGTCGCTAGCTGAACCGTGGGTCACACATCTTCAACAGCTCATGATCTGTTACCCAAGCCTATGAGCTAATAAAGAGTTATATAGCCTCCGTTTATTTCGTGAAAAACATTTTCTGGGAAAGCATTTCCCTCATTTTCCGATGTTTGGATTGCTTAGAAAAATGAGTTAATGAAAAATGTTTTCTTAATCAACGGAAAATGTTTTCCTACCAAAAATTAATTATGATAAATGATTTCCACTTTAAAAATCGGAAATCACTTTTCAAAATATTACTTGATATCAACGCTTGATCAAAAACTCTATGCTTGGGTACAGGAACCCCAACGCTCCTTCCTAGGCACTTGGCTGCGGGGTCGGGACTAGAGATTAGGGCTGGGTCCTCGGCACTCGGCACCCGTGCCTGGATCCATCGAGGCTAGGGCTAGAATCCCAGCGCCCTGGCCCTAGTCCATCTACATCGTGCCCTTGTCCTCGGCTGCCACACCCAGGTCCATCAAGGTCGGGCCTAGGACACTGGTGCCCATGCCTGGGACGCCTGGCTCGGTAACATCGAGGCCGGGCTCGAGTCCTCAGCACCTGTGCTGGTTTCAATTGAGGTTAGGCCACGAACCTTGGCACCCATGCCTGGGTCTTCGAAGTCCAAGCCCGAGTCCATTAAAGTTGGGCCCAGGTCTCCCATTCCTGTGGTCGGGTCCCCTGTGCCTATGCCCCAGTCCATTGAGGATGGGTACGTGCCCGAGACACTAGCCGCCTGCGCTTGGGTCCATTGAAGCTAGGCCCTGGACCCTTGGCGCTAGAGACTAGGTCCCCAGTGATTGAACATGAGTCCATCGAGGCCAGGCCCTAGGCTCCGGCGCCCATGTCTAGGTACCTAGTGCCTGGACCTAGGTTCATGAGACTGAGCCTAGAACCTTGCATCCGTGTCCAAGTCCCTAGTGCCTAAACACTAGTCCATCAAGGCTAGGCTCTCATCCTCAGCAATCACCCTTGGGTCCATCGAGGCCGGGCCCGGGACCCTGGTTCTGGTATCGGTGCTCAAGACGTCTATTGACACTTAAATTTTGGCTAATCATTTATGATTTAATTGCATAGAAAATTAGGGACAAATCTTTAGCCCTTAAACAAAAATAATATAATTAAATTACATAGCATATAATTTTTAGGAGCATTCATCATATATAGTTAGTTCATTAATTGCATTTTTATTGGACCGGCAATGGTAAATGGACTTGAATGAGTCATGTGGCTGGGCTGTACTACAAGCAAGATTAGGCAAGAACAAAGGGAGTAATGGCCGAAATTTCAAGCCCTTAGACCAAGTTTTAAGCTTTAATTGAGTTAGATTTAGCCCGTAAAGTTTAAAGGCTTCGAGTTTAATTGAAATAAACCCTAAAGGAATTAAGCATGTTATTATTTAAGCTCATAAGGAGGCAGAATTCGGCCAGCCCATGGGACAAGCCCTTGCCAAAAATTACAAAGGGAGATGGACCAAAATTAAGCACAATTTAATTAGTTTCAGCCCATGAGCTGTAATCAATGAATGGCCTTAAGCTAATTCAGTCCATTAATTTACTAAGGCCAAAATTTAAGCCCATGGTAAACCTAGGTTAATTCTATAAATACATACCTATACCTCATAACCTAGGGTGGTCACTAGGGGTGAGCGGTTCCCGATCCGGTTCGGTCCAACTCAAGAATCGGGAATTGGACCGGTTCCCAGTTTTGGGACCATGGACCAGACCGGTTAGTTTTGGGACCATGGACCAATCACTTATTGGTAAAGGCAAGTGGGAATTGGGGAAATTAGATTAGGCTTTCTATTTTTTTCAAAAATTTTAAAAAGTAAATAAATATATATATGAAAAAATTAAAAATATATATATTTATAGGTCCGGTTTGGTCTGGTTCCCACCCTAGAACTGGGAACCGGATTGCCCGGAAACCGGTTCTACTTTTAGGAACCGAAAACCGGACCGATATTCCTGAGAACTAGATCAAACCGGACAAACCGGTTGGTTCGGTCCGGTCCTGATTTGGGCGGTCCATCTTGCTTACCTTTAATGGTCACATTAGTTGGGCAATTCATAATTCGGAATTCAGAATTCCAGTTAAAAACACACAAAGAGTGATACACAAGTGGAATAGAGAGAGAGAGAGAGAGAGAGAGAGAGAGAGAGAGAGAGAGAGAGTTTGGCCAACCCTTATACGGCCGAACCCCTCACGCGGTTGGTGGTCGTGCCAACCACCACCATCATGAGTTGCTCCTCTAGACGTCGTATAACATCCTCAATTTCAGTCCTTGGGAAATGGCTATGGTTTACATTCGGTGGTTTTCCAGTCGGAGTCAATTTTACTCTTGTTCTGGAAAACCCAGATTCGGATCCTTTATACCCCTTTTGTTTTGTTATTCTTGTGGAGACTTGGGTGATCTGAATTTCCAAACACTTCATTCTTAAAAGTTCTCCAAACATCTTGACGTCTTACATACTTTAATTTCATAATTTCTGGACTTGATATGAGTGGCACTATAGCCTAATTTCGGATCGTGTAAAACTGCCCAAAATGGGTATTTCTGTGATGTTCACACTTTCTCGATTTTCTACAAACTTTTTTGGGCCGAATTTGAACAAACTTCCTTCATAAAAGTTGTTGAGAACTTCTTTCTCTAGAATATATATAAATTTGGGAATTTTTGGAGATGATTTGGATTCTGAAAAGAGCTTACTTTGAAAAGCAAAGATTCTGTTCCAGCGAACTATTTTTAGTCTGTATTTGAGCTACTAAAAGTTGTAGTTACAGAAAGATTTAGATTTTGTGTTGTCATAGAAAATGTTTGTTAAGGTCTTTTTTATGACATATTCAAATTTGGGAATTTTCAGAGTTCAGTTACTATGTTTTTAAGCTCGATTTCCAGAACAGTGCAAAAACTGCCGGTTTTGCCATATTTCGAAGATTCATCATTTTCTATATGAAAACGTTGGAATTTCGACTTGATGTCTTCTAGTGATTTAATGTGGACATTATGAGCTTTTCAAATGAGATATGTTGCACTTTTATTGGAGGTCACATGATTGGAAAAATGAGGCTTTACATGTGGTGGTAGAAGCTGAAATGTGTTCTTCCGAAAGGCTTCTATAATTGAGTCTTGAGAACCAAGAACATTATTCCCGCCTAGCAAGATGGCTCACGGCCAAAGAGAGAGAGAAAGAGAGATCATCATGATTTATTTAGGCCTTGAATGAATAGGGCATAATGACCCTAAGGTAAGGTAAAACTTGGAAGCCAAGTTGGAAATGAATGGCTTCAAATTAAAGGCTTGCACAAGAAGCTTAATTATGAAGCTTAGACTTTAGGGCCAATTGCAACTTGAGGACCAAGTTTTAAGATCTTAATTGCTCTTATAGGTCATCATGAACTCTAGATTGAAACTTAGAGCCCAAGCTTAGATTATGTGGCTAGAATTAAATCTTGCTCAAGAAGCCAAATTAATGGCTAAGACTTTCAAGGCCATTTCATTATGGTCTTTTGGCTCTTCTTCATTAATAACCAAGATTTTCAAGATCTAGATCATGATGACATTTGACTTTAGGGGTTATTTCATTAATGTCATTTGGCTCTCCTCCATTAATGTCATTAATGATCAAGATTTTCTAGATCATAGTCATGATGACACTTGACTTTAGGGGCTATTTCATTATGTCATTTGTCTTTTCTTCATGATTAAGCTTGGGGAACAAGTTGGTTTGCCTATAAATAGGCTTAGTTTCCCCCCCTTAGTTACCATACACTACTTCCTCGCCTCTCTCTCATCTCTCACCCTCACGCCAAACACTTCTCTCTCTCGCCATTTGTCGCCACCGACCGTCGTAGACGTTTTCTTGTGATTATAGGTGAGTGAATTCTCTAACACTTGGATAGAGCGGTGTGTTATGCGGTTGGAATGCGGCATGTAAGTGGATTCCCTAATCTCGGGATAGGAAGTTATGATGCGTTGTTGGCTTGAGTTCTCACCCGAACTTTTGTTGAGACTTGCGTGTTGTTGCTTGTCTTGATGATCGCACGCGTCGCTTGTTACTATGCTTGATGTTATCATCCATGCTTGTTGATTTATAAGAGGATAGGATGTGGTGTTACGAGTTTGGCTCGAGTAGTGACCGTGTCTGTGATGCTCGATGTTTGCATGAATGCTTCTTGTTTTGCTCCATAATCGTGAGTCAAGACACGTACAAGTACGAAACGGGATGTCGTATGGTCTCGTACTCATGTTGTGGCGTCACGGGATGAGTTCGGCTTGGTGCGGATTTACATTGGGAGATGTAGATCCAGGCCAAGTTCGACTCCGAGCCGGCGCTTGGCATGGCGGACCGAACCCGTGCCCTCGACCGTGACCCGCATGTTAGGCAAATGTTCTAGAAATCATGATTACACAAGCACGGCACGCCTTTGGGCTTGATTGCATGGACTAATGAAATCAAGATAATAAACTGGCTTGTGTGACCCATGATGTGTGATCACTAAATAAAAGAAGAAGACCGTCGTCACATAGCATTGGCGGCGATGCCTCGGTAAACTAGCACCGGGATGCCCTAATTGAGCTAGGATGCCTG